ATTTTACTTTTATATATAACCATGATTTTATGCGGCTATTTTAGTGAATTTGTTTTTCTCATGCAATAGTATAGCTTGAACTCTAAGGTACTGTTTCTATAAAGTCTTATAAATAATGTCTTGTTGGTAAGGTAGTGAATATTAAAATTTTTAACTCTATTACATGAATAACTCTCTAGCATGAACATTATTAACTGTTTCTTTTATGATAGTGTATACCTAAAAAAAATTTCGTAAAGTTTTATTCAAAAGATTTTGTTTATTTTGTGCATTAATTTCCATTTTTAGTGGAGAACATAAAATACAAAATACATTGAAAAGAGGAAAAAAAATTTAAATTTGCTTTAGTTTTCTTTAATGAACAATGAGCTTACATTTAATCTTTTTTCGTATTAGCAATAATTTAAACCCCTTCTATTATAGCTTTGACATATTGCGAAACAATGATGAAGTTACATTTTAGAAAATTTTAAATTTTTTTAAAAATAAAATGATGGTTAACCCCTTAACGGTCAGATAATTTTCAAAAAACGGTCATAAAAGTGCCTATTTTTTATACACATATTTGATTAGTGTTACCATTTAGTTCAAAATAAACTAACTATCTACAATTACCTTAAAAATATACTGTTACTGTCATCTGGTGTGTAAAATGCGAAATAAAATGCTTCCTTATTGGCGCATTACTACTGAACACTCCAGTCAGGGAATATCACGTGAGCGAAAAATAGAGGGCGAAACCTCTCCCCATCATTTTCACAGGAATTTTGATAGAAAATAAATTTCAATTTTCTAAGAAATTTCCTAAAATTCAAAATAATTTTACTGGAATAAATCAAATAGTTATTAAAGGTAGTAATAATTATAATTATTAAAAAATAAATATTATTTTTTCAATTATGATTTAATAAGTATTTTTTTTTTTTGGTTAAAATAGTTGCTAATATAACAGAAGGAAAAAAAATTTTTTTCCTTATTTATTTTAGCCTTTATCGTAAATATATTTATGAACATTAAAAATTTATTTTTAATTTGAATTTAGTATAGCAAAACTTGAAACAACAGGAAAGAAAAATTTTATTATTTAAAAGTAACATGCATTAAAATTTAATTACTTAAATTTAATTATAAAATTTGGAACAGGCAAGTTGTTTGCAATGAAGGTATGTGGAATATTTTTTTCCCTCTTTTTTCTTTCTTTTAATGCTGAATCTAATGTAACAACCCAAGGTGATTTTTTTTGCTTTACGAGTTTTACAAAGGCACAGGAAACCTCCTGGTGGCCCTAACTTTGATGGTCTAAGAATTTGCAAGCAAAGTTAAGAAAAACAGTAAGAGGATAAAATCGTTTAATGTGCATTACCAACTTTGTTTTTACGATCAGCAATTCCCTTTCATTTTTCCCTCCTCCAGTGGCAAAAAGAACCCCTCAGAAGATCTCCATGTCTTTTTTTCGAGCTCACGTGAAAAGGTTAACAAAGTGTATAATTAGTAAAAAGTAAACAAAAGAGTTTTAATATCCCCAGGACTTGGATATATCTGTTTAAGATAATCGGGTCTTTTATATATAAATATATACACATATTTGAATTATTCATGTGTAGTGTTCAAAATTATTTTAAAACAAAATGATTAACTAAATATTGAAGCATACAAATACATCTTGTTAATAGAAAAAACATCAATAATGCTGCATTACCTAATGATATATACTCATATAACAGTGCATGCAACTCATATAACAATGCTGGATTACCTAATGAGAAGTTGGTGGAGGAAAGAACTATGGATAAACAGATAATTAATGGTAATGAATGTTCAGATAGAGGATCCAGTTGTGTGGGGGAAAGTACTAGATTTGATGCTTAACCTGATTATACATTTTCTTTCAAGTTTTATCGAGCAATCTACATAATTTAAATACAAAACCTATCTCATGTAAAGAAATGGATAAAAATCAACAACACTAAAAAAGTTTAAAAGAGAGCAAACTAGTTTGTAAATGTTATTAGTATTATACTGCTGTACAGTTGAAAAACCAAAGTAAGAGACAAAAAATTCGAAATTGAGAATTTTATATATTTGGCATCATTGAATGGCTACATATTGCAAAAAAATTATTATTCAAAAAACAGCTTTTTACCAGTTTTCTGAAATTCTGCTCCAGCGTAACTTTGACTAAATCTTTAATTTGCAAACAGATAAAGCCTAACTCCAAATCACAATTGAAAAAACGTAGCATAGCTATCTTTTCGAGGAGTAGAAAAATGGACTTAGTTGAATTTTGCATTGCAAGTAACTGACTGATGGGAAAGAATAGCCTGGCAACCCTTATACTTACGTTGTTATTTTAATTCGTCGCTTCATTTCTTTAGCAGGTTGCATATATTTTTATATAGAAATAAAATTTATTTCAAATGCATCGCGAATTAAATAATTTTATACTATATGAGAATTTGCGAAAACTTCATCAAGATTACAGAGCATCGTTTTAGACAGTGCTCCGACGAAAAACGTATGATTTTTTTTTATATAAATGTTACAAATATGTTTATTAATAATAACCAACTATTATTAATAATAAAAAGTTCTTTGGAAAATGTCTTGAAGCTATGCACATTAATCACACTAAGTGGTTATTATTAATAACTCCCATTGCAGTTTGGTAGGTGTAATTAATTAGGCATAATTAGGGCTGCAAGTTTGTCGCGGGAAAAAAGATCCCAAATTCGCGGAAAAATCGCGGGAAATTTTGAAAATTACACAAATTCTAAACATAAAAATTTTTTTTATATAAATGATGCAAAAGACAGAAATTGCGCAAATAATAAAAAAAGCTTAAAAATACACAACAAAAGTATTTCTTTGAATTTCAAGCAATTTTAATATTTTTATTTAAATGAACAGAATTTCGGTACAAAGTATTGTACATTGTCAGATTATTCTCATTTATCCTTCGTCTTTCATCACTTAATACATTTTTACGTTTTGAAAACGATCTTTCTGCATCAGCGCTGTTTTTAGGCACCGACAAACTTCGAATTGCCAATTTTGTAGCGTTTGGTCTTTGATTTCCAAAACTCAATCAATTTTCCTTCACCATCGCTCAATTCCTTGACCGTTGCTTTGTAAGAAGTAATTGCTGTGAAAACTCAAACATTCAAACTACTAGTTACAAGTCCCTACTAACTACTAGTCCCCCCCTTCATCTAAGAAACTGATCCATATTTAAGAAATCACAAGAAGCTGCCTAAGAAAAATTAACTGGATATGTAGATAGGCAGTAGAAATTTCATTGCCCAGTACAATAGCATGTATAACAATTTTTCTGTCAAAGATTTCATTTATAACATTTTCCTTTTTTTGTGATTCCAATTTCTTTTGTACTCTTACTGACTTCAGGAAGGTAATTACCCTCCTGAAGTGTAGAAAGACCACCTTAGTTGATAAGATTGTGATTATCTCTTATCTCTGAACTATTTTCATGTTATTTTGCTATTGATTCACTCCCCTAAATATCTCATCAATTTTACATGTTCAATTTAAGGTTCAGGAAAATAAAAAATTCTGTTTAATAAAAATAATAAATAAAAAATGAAAAAAAAAAATCAAATTTTAAGCACTATTCCCGCAAGTCAAGACATATGGAGAAATTCGCGGATTTTAGGGAAAAAGATGAAAATTTCGCGGAAATTCGCGCTGCGACAAACCTGTAGCCCTGGGCATAATTTATTGAAATTTCAACTCAAACATACAGGGAATCTGCGATATTTTAGATTTTCTAATTCATGACTTTCCTTGACTTAACGAAGTTACTATTTTTTCCGACAAAAATATAACAATAAATTTAACCCACTGGCGGTTAAGGAAATGGGCAAAATTGGGAGAATGTTTCTCCCCTATACACAGTTCCCCTATCAGTTAACATGGGAAAACCGGTTTTGCTAAGCAGAGAAGACTGCAGGTTAAAATGCGACTTTTTACGTGCAGAACCGTCAGTGGGTTAAAGAAGCATTATAATAACATTCATTGAAATGATAGGTATAACTAAAACTGTTATACTCTGCACCTTCATATTTATAGATTTTAAATTTAAAAACAGAGTAAAGAAAGAGTTGAAGCAATAAAATAGCTGAAAAAAATATAAAAGCAAATAATTTTTTTCTGCAGAATTATATTCTAAAGATACTTATTTTGTTCATCGGAAAGGAAAGAAATACTCCTGATTTTTCTGTTCTCATTTCAGAATAAAAAAATTAACCAATGACTGACTTGCTTCAGCTAAAATTTTATATTGATAAAATAAAAGTCTACAAAATTCTGAAAGCATGGAAGTTTAAAAGATAATTCGCTCTAGAAATCATGTTTTTTCTTTCATTTTTTGAAAGAACACCAGAATTTTGAAAGAACAGGATAAAAACATTTTATATTTTAATCAAATATAACTGTGAGTGGGGATTTTGTTACAAATTCAGATATTTGGAACGCCTAGAAATCGGGGGGAGGGGGTAAATTCCATATTAAAAATTAGATTTTTCGGCGACCTAAATCCATGACTTTTCATGATTTCTTTTTTAAAAAATAGTTAAAATCATGACATTTCATGACAAATTTTGTTCAATACCGAAATTCATGACTTTCCAGGTGCCAATATTATAAATATAATTGAAATTTCTTTAACCATAATTCCATTTATCTCTTTTTTATTTATCTCTGATAACATAAAGATAAAAATTTTAAAAATATAAATAAAAAAAAGCAATGCAAATAATGAAAATAAATACAAGAAACATATTTAAAAAATCTTGAACATAAATAAATGAAAAACACAAAAAAATAATCACCGCGTTGCAATAACCAAGTGAAACACATGTGAGTTACGTTGATTTTAAATTTGTAATAAACTGCGCTGAAGTAAAATCATGATAACTCCTTATTCGTTTAAAACTATTTTTGTATAACAGATTATTCAATTTTTTTCGCAATATAATTAATGTAACATTAAGGTAGGTGAATAACAAATTTGAAATATTTTGAATCGATATCATTGAAATAGCTGGAAAAATAGCTGTTAATCACTTTTCTTGAAATCTTTCTTGTAACACTTATGTTGTTTTTTTCAATTGCACAGCAGTCTAGTAGTTAATTAGTTTCTTACTGAAGTTATTAATCATTTTACATATTTTAATTAGTGTGAAAGAAAGTTTAGTAAGCATTATTTTAATTAATTTTTCATTGCGTGACTGGGCTTTTAAATCTTTATCAGTGGGCTTTTTTTTTTTAAGTTTGTTCACCCGAACTTTTTTTCATCATAATTATTTAGCATTTTTGTCATCTTATATTTTATCTTCACATAACAGTCTTAAAAGGAGTTTAAAGATACATTAAATAAAATAAGCTAAAGAGTATAAAAGTGATTAACAAAAAAAGATTTGTTTGATTGTATTATTCTACTCTTAACAATTATAAAGACACGGTAAGTGCTCTAAGTTAAATACGCATTTAATGATACTAAAGTCATTTGATTGTATATATGATTAAAGCTAGCAGTACATTTTCAAATGAATGACTTCTCAACAATACGAAAACTGGTTTCACCTTACTTTAAAAACCTAGGCAACAATGGAATTTTAAAATGATTTACAGTAACACGCTTTCGATGTTTCAAAATTGCATAGTTAGTCAAAACATAGTTAGTCAAAATTGCATAGTAGTTTTGTTTTCCTTCAACACATTATAAGGCAGCTAATTTTAAAATCCTGAAGGATTTTGGACAAAAAAACATATTTTTTTTCAATATACATAATATTGATGCATTTTGCTGTAAGCATTCTGTCAAAAACATAATTATAACATCTGAGAAATATGGAATTGCAGAAAATTTTGTGTTAAGTACTCTGTGCCAATATGTCTTACACAGTGTGCACATTAAATGATTTTAAGTGAGATTTTGTAATAGTTAAGGTTTTTTAAGATAAAAAGGCAGGCAGAACAAGTTACCCTTTTCAAAATGCCTAGGAAGAACTCTGGTCTTTACATCAATATCATAACATAATAAAGCACAAATAAATTTAAAGCAGTTAAAAGCTTCATGCAAAACTAATGAATAAATCTATCACATGCTTTTTAATAATGAAAATGTTCTGAAATTGAAGTATAATCTGCATTACATATTAGTAACTCTTTATATTTCATAACAAACTAAAGCTTTTTATTCCTTTCAATCTTTCCATTAGACAAGTTTTGCTAACTTTTCTTCAAGTAACATAGTTTTTTATCATATTAAAGGAAAGAACCTTTTACAACTCTGTATTAAAAAGTTTTGTTCTATTGTTTACACATTCATCTTCTGAACCTCATTGGAGTCACAAGTCATTGAGATTCAATAACTCCATGGAAACTGAGCAATCTAATCATGTCAAAAGTTCAAATTAAAATTGCATAGATAAACACTCATTAATATATCCAACTTACTGGTACCCATTGTAAAACTGTACTAATGTTGTCTATTGCTTTTTCTAGTGTATGAATAGTTTCTTCAATGTCATTATTTACTATCGTCAAGTCAAAATAATGTCCATAGGCTTGTTGAAGAAGGTCACTTTCTTTAGCCAATCGCTCTAAGCTGCCATCAGTCTACGAAATGATAACACATAAATTTAAATATAACTACAGAAATTAAATTTAAAGCTTAAAAAAAGCATGCTATTAATTTTAGCACACATTCAACCTTTCCCAACCTTCTACAAAATCAGTTTCTCCCAATTATTTTAGATTCATTTGACAAGAAAAGGATGTCCAAACCCTTCTCTTTTCGAATAGAGTTAAGAGTATATGAAAGTTAGCTGAATAAAGAGTACCAATGATGAAAAATACAAGTTAGAGAAGCACGAATCTGAAGAAAAAGCCTTAAATATTTTTACAGTCAGAATGAAAATAAGAAATTTCAAACTTTCAACTGAAGATCAACTACAATACAAAGTCCTATGCTTAGATATTGGTTTTTCAGAAACTATTTTCTAGACACATTTTAACAAATCTCTTTCTTCCTTTTAACAAAATCAGTAATAACTTTATACATACAAACTTTTTACATAAAAATCTGTTTTAAAATCTTATGCATAGAAAAAACTTTTTTATTTTCTATGGTCAACAGGCTTTGTTTTTGCTTAAATTAGCTGTAACACCTGAACATAATGAAAATTAATATTATTATTGAAAATAGAAATTTTGAATTGTGTACTTCAATTACCACTTTCTATTATGCTCAATTTGCACATAGTGGTTATTGATCTCTTTCCTGTGGGACTTCCATATTGCTTTAAAAAAAACACAATTTTTTCTATACTATATTCTTATATGTCAATAATTTATCAGAAATCCATGCAATTTTTTTAATAGTTTCATGGGCAGTTATTGCTATGTATTTCCGCATGGTTTTCATAATCCCCTTATTTTCGATAATGCTCACAAGTTTAAAACCGATTATCAAATATTCCCTTTTTAATGTACTTTATTTGTGATGATTTTATCAAAAAAGAAAGTTATTTTGAATCTTTTTTTTTGGCACTTTTGAAGTTGAATAATCACTTTTTAATGTGCCTTATTTGGGATGATTTCATTACAAATACAAGTTATATTTTTATTGGTTTTTTGGCAGTTATTGCTGTTTTTCATATGGCTTTAAAAATCCTGATATTTTTTATATAATATTATAATAACACAAGAGAGCTTTTAATATGGCATTTAAATAATTATTATAAGGCAACCTTTATTTGAGCTGATTTCATTGTAAATCCAAATGGTTTCAGGATAAAAAAAAATTTTGACAATTAGCATCATACATTTCTACATTGTATTTAAATCCCAATATTTTAATACATCACATAAAATTTAAAAAGTGGAATAATGTATTTTAACTGTTTACACTGTTAATGTATTTTAACTGTTTACTGTTTGAAAATGGCTTTTAACAACAAGAAATAAATAAAACCTCTATAATTTGCTAAACATAAATGTTCTACAGTTCAAATATATTTCCAACTAAATGTTAAATTTTATTAACTGTATTAATAGGTTTTTTTTAATTTAAATAATTTTAAACTCAATAAAATTTCTTCAGTTAAAGTATTCAGTTTGCATTTATGTTAATTGATTTTTTTTTACTTTGTGAACATTTAAGTTTTTATTTTTAGAATTTGATTTATAACTAACTTTTTCATGAGATAGGATTAAAGAAATATTACATTTTACTAATGCTTAGATATATTTTGATAAAAGAAATGAAAAGTTGTAAATGAATTCTATAATTTAAAAGTATTAAATTTTATACAAATATAATATTGAGTAGAACCATAATAAAAATTGCCATAATTACTGTCAACAAGTCAAATAGTTTACCAATTGACAGTTTATATGAACCCTGATGAGAAGAGATCGCCTGCATAACCTGTGTCCTTGGAAAAATGACACACACTGCTTTGGTCCAAGTTTCAGGTAAGTGGGATGTGCATATTCACCTGTATACTATCAAGCAGTTAAAAAATCAACGCAAGGGATATAAAATTCAAAGTTGAGATTTTTATATATTTAACATCTTATCATCTTAACATATTGCAAAAAAAAAATCTCAAAAATAATTTTAATTTTATCAGTTTTTTGGTTTTTCATTTTTATCAGTTTTTTGGTTTTCCATTTTAACGTTCATAGTATTAGCAATAGAAGGAGAAAAGTTGTCAAGCCACTTTTCTCGGAACCAATTATGAAGCACTTACGTTATTTCAATTGCATAGCAAAATACCTGAACTAGCTAGTCACAAATGTTATCTGTTGGCTAAAGTCACTCACTGGTTTCAATGATACAGAATAAATGATACTAGAAAGAATTCAAAATCAAAATGTTACATCTGTTCATAGGATTAAGGTTCGCAAAGATGGTAAAATCATCCCAACATTAAACTTTTGCACCAAACGCGAAAAAATAAGTCCTAAAGCTAATAGGACAGCAACTGCTTCCACAGTAAAAACAGATCGAATTATAGGAATGCCGTAGCTGTAAGTAAGATCAGCCACAATAATCCCACAACCAACATGTCTCGGGAAAGATCCATCTGCAAAAACTGTTTATATTGTATATACTGATGATGATGAGAAGTGAATAGCTATTGTAAAATACTAGGTGAAACATTAAATTTACTGTATGACACAAATGAACAACCAAGATGATCTGATGAAATAGTCCATGGATGGTTGAAAAAATAATTTACAGACTGCGATAGTAAATCACAAAAATTGAATGATTGATCGCACAGGAGAGTTAAAAATTGGGAGATATAAGGGTCGTGTAGTCCTCGTAAGCTTAGTGGAATAATCTCACGAAGTGGACGCGAGGAAGATGACTGTTACAATTTAGGGTTGGGAAAATTAAAAAAAAGATTTAGTTAATTAATTTTTTCGTTACGAGGTTGTGCAAAAAATAAAAAAACAAATTAATTATGGCACGTGACTACTCCTATAGTGGAAAAGCACTTAAAAATTGCAATACTATCACCAGACAGCAAAAGGCACCCACGGGTGGGTGGAAGAAAGAACGCTATGATACAATTAAACAAAACTCCGTCTCTCAAAGAGAGGAGGGTGTAAAAAATGAAAAAACCCTGTTAAGGGATCGTAGAGTATTGATATGGAAATTAATTCGAATGCCCCCGCTCAAAAAAATGGGCGATATTTATATAAAAGGTTGAAGTAAAAGTACCTAAAATGCCGCAGATTCGTGGCTGAAAAGGGACTTGAAGTGAACAGATGAACTGCCAAAAATCAAATCACAATTATACACAAACTGTGACTATAACTGATCATCCTCCATGTGCTCACATCAAAGGCTGCCGAAGGTCACAGGCATGAAGGTCGACAGACAGTGAGGCATCACAGGAGAGGGGTCAGGGTTCGGCCTAATTTTTAGGTCATAATCCCAACAGAAAATTGAGATTAAGTAACACAATGTCACAATGACATGACACGAAAGTAAAATTTCAGAGCTGCATGCGGTATAATATATGTACATATATATGTCATATCATATATGTATTCATGTGATCATATATGTATGATTCCTCTTTTGATAATTTTTTATTAAACAGGATATTTATTTTTTTCAATTTAAACCAAATCAGATGCTTATAAATATCACTGAAATATATTTTCTCTAAAGAAAATGTTTTTCGCAGAAAATAAAAACAAACTGACAAAAGATATAACATGCAAACTGAATTTTAAATTCCAGAAAATTTAAATGAATTCTGAATAACATGAAAAATACTTAATTAGAGGGATGAGTTTATTGCCCAAACGTACCAAATAAATAAAACTCATTACAGGTTCAAAATATAAGAATTGGTTTCTAAAAAAATTCAATCTAATTGTACTTACATCTCTAATATTTGTTAAAGTGGGTGCAGCTATGAACACAACGAAGGGTGCATACTCAGCAGTCCTTAGAATTTTCAAGGCCTAAAAAATGTAATGAATTATAAAAACAAATTTAAAGAAAAGCTTAACATTAATAGTTGTAGTACAACCAACACTGCAAAATTAGCATAGGCAGAAAAATATTTCTTTACATAAAAATTCGACAATAATCATTCTTAATTTCCATTTTTCTATTCATCATTAAACATTATGATGAATAAATACTTTATAATTTTACCACTAATTTAATGTAACCAGTTTTAATTAGTATTGTTGGCAGTTGTTAGTCAGGAAGTTGTATAAGATAGGTATCTACAATAAAAGTCTGACTACCCAGAATTTAACTACTCATAGATTTTTTTAACACAAATAGATTTTTTTAAACTAAAATAATTATTTTTTATAAAAATCAGCCTGATGGAAAAGAAATTCCTTTACAAAACACGTTTTAGCTAAAACGAAATGCTGTGCCATACACCACAATGGCAGAAGATTATTGATCTATCTTAAGTTTTAAAATAAAAAAATCCGTCTTACTTGTGCAGATTATTCTTCAATTTGGATTTAAATAAATTGGGAATAAAAGATTGCAAGGTGAAAGTAAAGACCAAACAAAAAGGTAAGGATTTTACTATCTTAATTTGTAAAAAAGGAATAATTACCACCACCACCCCTTTAATTTGAAAAAAAAACACTAATTTATAAATAGCTGATAGTACATCTTCTAAAAATGAAATAGGCAAAACAAGCTGAGCCTATCGCAATTCGTCAGAGTAACATTTGCACTTTCTTTTCATTTTGTAAACAGTTTTAAAAGCTGCAGTGGAGCATCTTGACGAAATGTGAACCAAAACTTTAGTGTGCAGAAACATTTTCATAAGAATAACACTAAAATATTTTTATATATTATTTCAGAATAAGCAGAATATTTAGATAGAATACAGTGTATTGTCTAAAATCATAATTTTAGCAGTGGAGTGTAATGAAATTGTTTCATTTTAATTTCCAACATAATGACTTGCAACAAGCACGCACTGTAGAGATGACCTCCTTTCTATTTATAAAATAATTTGTCTATAGTTACAATGATTGAAAACAAGAGAGGCTTTTAATAAGCTTAATATTATTCATCTTAAATCATCCTTGTGTAACAAAAGGAAAACATGAAAATCATCCAAGACTAACTAAAACTAAAGATTCAATTGGATTTTAAAGGGTTGCCCAAATGAAAAATGGACATGTGTGATAGCATTATAAATAATAACAGTATGATAGCACTAGCACAACTCAGTGTTATAAAGGAAGCCAAAAAGAGTGCACTATAGAAGGTGTATAACTATTTAAAAAGCATTAGAGAGAATTTAATATTAATGTAAATTCAATCAGTAAAGATACATAATTGAAATCTAATTAATTCTAGAACTTTTGTAATAACGTTTTTAAAATCTTACTAGGATTCTTTTCTTTTATCTTTTGGATTTTTTATGAATGTGAATAAAGAACAAAGTGAAAGCTTAATACATTTATTTATACTTTAAAGAGTACTAATTGAATGCAGTTTTTCAAACAATAATTATGTCCATAATACCTTACAAATTCTAAATTTTAAAACCAACTTCAAAATTACATTTTTGAATTTCTAAATTCATACATAAATAATATAATCTGACTATAGCTTTTTAAATTAAAGCTGTGATATTTTGTTATAGTGAATTATTTTTTTTAATGAATTATTAAGCTTCTATACACATAAATAAAAATAAATTTTATGTATAATAAGTTCGTAAAGTATCCCTCAGAAAAAACCAATTCAGATCTGAAACAAAAAAAATGCATATTTTTTTTACAAGAAATCAAAAATATAATGAGCCTTAAAAAAATTATGCTACCATTAAGATAAATTTTTTAATGAGTTGATGCCAGCCTCTACACTTCTGAGCGGAAGATTATTTTCCAGTGGTGGTAGACAAAAAGTAAAAACTTTTTAAAAAGTTGCTAATATCGTTCAGGATGTTCATGATCCATATGCACTGGTATCCAAATTTAAACATAATTTTACACATAAGTCTAGTGCTAAACTTTTGGTCATCAGTCTATGTTTACCATGTCATTTTTTGGACTTATTTATGTACTGTAGTTGTAAAAATTCTTTCAAATTAAATTTATTAAAACAAGAATTAAATATTAATACACACAAGTTGCTACCACTGGGAAAAAAATTCACAAAAAGTTAGAATCAATGATATTGTATTATGTGCGAAAGTTTTTCTTTTTCCCAAAATACTAAATTAAAATCACCTGATATTTGATGTGTTTCAGATTGTCTAAATATTGCTTATTTTAACATTTTAAAAAAAGAAAGAGCTTGGCAAAAACTTCTATTTATATTTAACTCAAATTGACACAGCTAATGTACAGTAACAGATAATCCCTTAAATGGCAATAGTTAACATATTTATTTCACAAAAGAAAAAAAATTTGTATTAAAAACCAATTTTACACAAACTTAAATCAGTATAAAAAGAAATTTTCAAATTTTAGTAGCATATTTATGGAAGCTAATTTACAAGAGTCTAAAAAATATATTGATGTACTTTGATAATTTTAACATACTGCTTTTTTTTAAAACAAAACGTTACAACTTACAACTGATGATACAAAAAAAATTCTTCTCTATTTTTTCATTGAATAATATGAAACAACTCACACTGTAAAATCGAAATTCATTAAATTTATAAAATTGTCTATGCACCTGAGGCTCCACATCTAAAATAGCAATTTTGCCATCTTTGTGAATCTTGCGTATAGTTTCCAGCTTTGTTCCGTACATAGCTTCTTCATGTGTACCATATTCTAAATACTCGTTGGCATGGATATCAGACATCATTTCGTCTTGTGTTACAAAATAGTAATTTCGTCCATTTTCTTCTGTAGGTCGAGGCAAACGTGTAGTATCTGTAAAGAAATTTAGGTTACTAATTCAAAATGGAAAGGATGCACGTATACCACCATGCAGTATAAAAAAATAACCATTGTCATATGAAACAAATTACATTTGTAAGCATATTTGAAAGTTTGTTAATTAATAGTTAAGTGATGACACAAATATGATATGCAGTTAAAACAGTTGCATGCAACCAGTTCAAAATTATCTTCATAGGTAGATGAGTCAACATCGATCCGATGTTTCATAGCAGGCCAAGAGGAATAAAACATGCCCAACAACACGTGAACACAAACACATTTAATATGGAACACATATATAGAAACAAAGACAATAAAAACACAGATAATAATCTGAGCTTTTCCTTCTCGGAAGTCAGTAAGCCATTTGTTGGTTAAAGGTTAATGCAGATCAATCCAACTAAATACATGTACACTTTCAGCTCTATATGCACATTCAGCACTCTCCACATAAACCTTGATAATACAAACTAAAATGTAGACACTAAAATTTTTGCAGCACCAGAAATTCATTATTGTAATTAAAGTATGAATATATTTTGACAATATAATCGAAATAACAACAGCACTGACATTTTAAAAGTTGCAAAACATGTATTTGCTTCAAATAATGTCATTATATTTCTCTTTCATTTGATTTTCTGTTACATCTTTAGATGCCTTGGTTTCTTTTTATTCTTCCTGGTTATTACATACTGAAACAATATTAGACTGAGTAGCTCCAAAGAGCAGGGCACATCAACCAGAGGTCTATTGTACCCAAACCCTGAATCATGATTGGCAAGAAAGCCCTATAGCTGAAATAAAATTCAGCAAACACCTTACAGGAACATCCTGCAGTTCTTAGGTTTAAATGCAATGCTGTCCCAAATGCTCAAATCTTTGAACAGAATAGACCTCACAATCACAAAGTATAGGTCGTGATGCCTCTACTTCAAGATGACAACCTAGACAAAGAGAATTAGATTCAATTCCCATTATATATAGGTGTCTCCTGAGGATGCAGTGTCTAGTAAGAAGACCAATGATCTTCCTCAAACTGTTTCTATAAAGCTTTAAAAGCTCTTTTTGACATACACTAGGACAGTCACGATTCAGCTCCTTAGCTTGTTTCTGACCGTCAGCGATGCGCCATTGCTTATGGGCAATTTTGCCATACAGCTTAAATATAGACGCCCTAAAAGAGGTGGAAGAAATTCCCAATGCAAGTCCAGGGCCCCAAAAAATTGCACTAGAGCCAGCTCGTGATGCTTCATCAGCTAGCTCATTTCCAAGAATACCCATACGTCCAGGTACCCGAAGCAGATATACCCTGTTATGAGTAGATAGGTCACAAAGGATCGAAAGACATTCCCACACTAGCAAAGAGGTGAATTTGTACTTTGACAGTGATAGGAGAGCAGGCAGACAGCCATAACAGATGTGGATAGTCATATTTTGATATCCCCTGTCTAAGCATATCTTACAGCACAAGATAATGGTATAGACCTCAACCTGAAAAACAGTGGCATAACTTCCCAAGGGAAAGTGAAGTTTGGTACCATCATTGGAGCAATAATTTCCTGCTCCTCATTTGAGACCAAGCCTTGAACCATCAGTGTACCATATTAGACATTTGCCTTTAAGCCACCGAAGAGAATTAAACCATTAATCTCTAGTAGGAAAATGGATTTTGAAAGGCTTTTGAAAAACATATCTTAGTGACAAATAATCACTAGGCATAATAAAAGAGGGTATATCCATCACTTGTGAAATAAGATAACCCCATAACAAGTGTTTGGAATTCTCTTTTCATAAGCCAAGGTACATAAGACGCTTCATGCCTGTCTGAGCTTCAACTTCAATACGTAAGTTCAATGGAAGAAGCCCAAGTAAGCTCACAAGAGCAGCTGTGGGAGTGGTCCTAAGACAGCCTGACAAGGCTACCATTCTTTGTAGTCTGGCGGAGCTCAATCTAGTCCTCGACCACCAGACGATTGTGTCACATGCGATAATAGGACTATTTTGGGGGATAATCCCCAGGTTCTACCAATAGCATTTCTGCAAGACTAGAAAATCTTCCTGGCCCTGCTGATACAGTATTCTAGGTGATAACCCCAATTAAGTTTGGAGTCAAAATAAACCTCGAAAAAATTGACTTTCTCCGTGAGTTCCAATTTATAGTCTAGGTATATATTACTTAGATCAAGATGCTTTTTTCTTGTGAAGGCTACAAAACTTATCTTGGACAGGCTGACAGATAAGCCAGAGTCAGAGTACCATCCAGCTACTTCTAGAAGTGCATTATTCATGATATCACAGACTGTTTTGCCATGCTTGCCTTTGCCAACAATAACTCCGTGATCAGCATACCCGACACAGGGAATGCCAAGATCAGTTAACCGAACTAACAAAGAGTCCATAACCATACACCATAGATAGGGGACAAAACCCCTCCCTAAGGACATCCTGAGGTTGCATGCACTCTCATGCTTGTACCCAGTAAAGAGGAACAAACATACCTGGGGGATAGCAAATTAGCTATCCACCTGGTGATTATTGTCTGCAGTAACTACTTCCTCATAAATAGGAGTCAGTTTCGCTGGGATTCCTTAAATTAGAAAATTCTTTTTATTTTATTTTATGAAGATATTCTTATTTGTACACACATCTTGCATATCTACTTCGTCATGAATGAATAATTCAGGCAATTTATTTTCAACTATCATAATTTCTTTCTTATTTAGTTTTTAAGAAATTATTTATAAAATTGAAGAAAATTTTTTTTGAAATGGTATTCAAAAAAGCAATTTAAAATCTTTTGAAATCAGGACAAAATTTTCTGGGTGACCAAAAATTTCAAAAAGCAATTTTCAAGAAGCAATTTAAAAATCCACTGATTCAAAATTCTTTAAAAGGTGGTTATTGTGCATAAAGTTATGAATATTAAAACTTTAAGTCACACAGAAGGCATTTTAAAACCAAATAAGAAATGTCTCATCAAAAATAAGTCAAAAAAGATTTTGCCTTAACTTACGAGGAATTGGATATGCATACTGCTCAGGGTGATTACTTATGAGAGTGTTTTTAATGTGACGCCTTCCTACCCCATGAGCACCTACATAAAAAATAGATAATTATTAAAATGATAAGGGTTACAACAACTATTTAAATATTAATGCAGCTTATAATAATATCAAGAGTTAGTAAAACCTAAACTCATGAAGATTTTTCTGAACGCTTAGTTGACTGGATCAAAAAATACTGGATATTTGTGGATGACATCTTGTCTGAAGAATTTGATGTATTATATCATATTTTAATAAATAATGGTTAAAAATAAGAAAAATTTACCATTTTTAGAACAAACAATCTGATTGTGGTCACTACTCCCAAATATTTTATGCAAACACTTATATTTTAATAAATCCATGCCTATCATGGAATTCTCGTGCGAAGCTTGTGGTAAAATAAAATCACAGTTTAGGCTGCACCACAGATATGTTATGCTAATATAACTTTTAAATACAGATAAGAGATAGTCTATTTATCCTAAATTTCGGTACAAAAAAAAAGCAAACAAATCATTTTAAAAACTATTTTTTTGGAATAAAACTATATTTTTATAGGAAAGTTTTATAATTATGAGCCGGAAGGTTTAGAGTTGCTTGAATAATTCAAGATATAGTGAAATGCACAAAAAATAAAATCAAGGTGCTTACACCTTGGACCGCTTTTCCAGATAAACTAATGAAATCATGTCTAACAGATTACACTAACCCCTATATCTTGTAGGAGAACAAAAATTCAAATTCATTTAAAAAAGTGTGTTTATTCAGAGAAAGCATGCTTAAGTGTCTGAATTAGTAACTTATATTACTGTCTACAAACACTAAATTTGAATATCTTACATAAGCTTTTCGTGCTATAAAGATTCCTTCCTGGAACATAAAAATCTTATCACTGTTTTGAAAGTTAATCAGGGATAACTGAACAAATCTTATTTGAATTTCTTCATTAGGCATTTCCAGATGGATTATTCATAGAAGACTAATACATTCATATTCATAATTACTGAAATTTCACTGATTAAAGCAGGGTAAACAGGGTTAAAACTTTAAATGTAACAGTCCAGCGTCAATGACACCTAAATATTTTTTTTTAAGTTGCTAAAACAGTTCAGGCAGGTATAACTTTAAAATTATATTTTTAACTACAATATTTATCCTTTTTTAAATACTTTTAGAAATCTTGTCTAAAATTCTTTCCATACACTAAAAGGAGCAGGGTGCTAAAAACTGAAAAGGGCACTATATCCCCCAAATAAGAGCACCTATTATGTAAAAGGTCATTGTATTTCACAAATATTTGCACAGCTTTTAAAAAGGATGAGAGTGGACAGAAAGCAAGAAGGAGGAAATCGATAAATATGCCCAAAAATAAATAAATAAATAAACATGTGGCGAGTACGATGGCCAGAAAATTGAGAAAAATGAGGGACATTTATCATTTTTAAGTTAAAAGGAAATTTATCTCACTATAGATAAATTATACTTCAATTATAAAAAATTTTATAACTCGTATATTCTCATATGTTACTCATACATCTTTGCAGAAAAACTCAACTGCCATTTTTTTCTCAGTTTAAACTCACACTTGATTATTAGATTGTTGTTGTTAATTTACGTCGCACTAGAGCTGCACAATGGGCTACTGGCGACGGTCTGGGAAACATCCCGGAGGATGATCCGAAGACATGCCATCACAATTTTGATCCTCTGCGGAGGAGATGGCAACCCTGTTTCGGTAGCCCGACGACCTGCGCGCGAAGTCGAGCACTTTAGGGTAGCACACCCTCGGTCCCTACGCAGACTGATCCAAGTGGTCACCCACCCGCACACTGACCGTAGCCAGTGATGCTTGACTGCAGTGATCTGCTGGGAACCGTGTCTTAACCATCAGTCCACTGCGGGACCTTGATTATTAGAATAGTGTGAAATGAGTCTACATTAAGCCTATTTGACCCTGGTGTTATAACGGAGTTTATAAAACCAGGAGAATGGGAAGTGGGACACTTCAATTTGGAGCAATTTATGAAGCATGAAATTTTGAGATTCGTAGCAGTCACAGGAGATTGTAGGAGCAAAATTTAAGATTTGTTTCAAAAAATGACATATTATTCAACATATACCGTATTTTTCAGTGAAAGCACCGCGGCACTATCGAAAAAAAAGTTGATTTTTCCCTTTGCTTCCGATTCAGCGGTGCTTTTGATGCAATATTTTTAGTGGCAAAAAAATTTGTCAAGGAAAGTTATTTAAGATGAAATAATTTTCTGAGAGAAAGACTATTAAAAAAATTTATAACGAAGTCGACGAAATATTCACCCGTATTGCGATCTGATATAGAACATCGCCAATTCTTAGCAAACTTTCAGCAGCAGTTTGTAAGAAAATAAATTAACGAAATAATTTTAAAAAAACATCGCATAAGGAGAAAATTAAAAACTTATGCATCTTGTATCCACCCCCAGCTTAAAGAAAAATCGCAAGCTAGAAATCTACTTAGCGCCATGGCAATTATAATTGGAGCGAACAGAACAGGAAGTAATTGGACCCTAAATTCGACACTCACGGGACTGACATAATGCCGAACTTCAGATCTCTTTCGGAAATTCCAATATGGCGCCCAAATATTACTATAATTTAATTACACTGCTAATTTCAGAAAAACCAATACATTTAGTCAAGTTTTGATCGTAGATTATTATGGGGTGAATTTAAAACTGGCCCATCTTATGAAATTTTATTAATTAAAATAATAATCTATATAATATAATCAAGAAGAAATAATCCGAATCCTCTGAAGAAGAAATAATAATTTCTTCTCCGAAGAGAGATCATAGTTCTCGTTTTTTCTTTTAGATAACATTTTGTTTTAACAAAAGACGTTTGCCTCGCAAAGAAAATATAAAAAAAGCTAACAAGGAACTAAAAAAGAAAAAAGTAACAATTAATGCTAAGAAACTAACAATGAATAACAACAAAAAACAAGCCAAAAACTAATAACAATAAAAAAACAAGCAAACAACTAATTACAAGAAAAAAACAAGCTAACTATTAACAAAACAAATTAACAGTTAATAACTAATAAAAAAGCGGCAAAATAAAAAATTTATGAGTCGAATAAAATACCGCAAAAGGGATAGAATTCATTTTGTAATTCACATGGTAGTTTCAATGTCAACTGGGTGCGGCCAATTTATGGTCAAACAGAGGAGGGAAATGTGGGGACAAACCAGTAAAGCACAAGCACAGCTGTCAAGATTGATTGATCAGTTTTTTCCAACTTGCATTTTTTTATTTTGTTCATTGGTAATGCAGGTGTTTTTACTTCTCACTTTATTTTAAACTGCTTTAGAAACAGATGTTTCCTTTGACACTGATTTTTTTTTCAAGCTTCTTTTTTATTTTTAAAAGATAAAATAAAGTAAGTTACTTCNTTTTTTTTTTTTTTTTTTTTTTTTTTTTTTTTTTTTTTTTTTTTTTTTTTTTTGTCTTATCAATATAAATTTCTTTAAAAAAAAAATAGATCAGATTAAGTGCCGAATTTCGGGATGCTGGATTAGGGGTCCCATACCCTTTTCTTTTCCCCAACCCCTTTTAAAATAACTGATCGATTCCTCCTAAACAGCTCCAGTAGAAATGACACATGGAGGAGGTGGAGTACACCCCTCTTTTAAACATTTTCTTCTCTCTAAGTTGAGTCACATTGTGTTATTTCCATTGAAGGAGAGGGAGGGCATTCTACCCACTAAAATTCCATCTCCAAGTATAGTGAAAGTGAAACTTATTTCCCCTTCGCTCATTCCTTCTTCAGAATTTTGCTTAGTAATTTCTTATTCTTGTTATTATTAGTTATTTCGCTATTATTAGCTGTTTCGTTATTATTAGTGTTTCCTCAAGTTGTTAACGGTAATAAATTTTCAAATCTTTTTTTTCAGTGAATTTTTATTTTACTTTTCTTATTACATTGTTTTACGGATTTCTGTAATCAGTTCAGCGTTAATTCAGCTACTGAGCATATAAATCTTCTTCTTTTTTTGGGCGCGGTGCCAACTGGTAAGAACAACTTTATTTAATATCGTTTTGTAGGGCGGTTTTTTCGCTGAAAGAGAACATTTTTTGTTGTTTTTTTTTTGCTGAAAAAGAAATTTTTTATTATAATTTAGAAATTAAAATTTACTTTATGAAATGTATAAAAAAATGTAATTTCTTATTATACAGATGTTCTAAATGGTAATTTAAAAGTATTTTCTATAAGGATGCTGATATGCACGGTTTAGCGCCATTGAGCGCTACTATAATTTTGTTTTTTTAATTTCATTTTTATCGATATGCGGCGCTTTTGCCGAAAAATACGGTATTTGAAATTGTAGTAGTTTAGTTGTAATTTAAAGCAATTAAAACTATCTATTAAAAAGCAATTTGAAGATTAAAAAATAAATTTTAAAACACAGTCAACCATAAAATAGGATGAGAAATAGTGAAGAATATGTTAAAAGTAAAAATAATCATATACACACATATATAATTTCTAATGTATTATTGCAAGGTTCCCTTGAGACCTTACAATAAGGAAGGGCGTTTATTAACTGAAAATGATAATATATTCCCCCAAAATACTTAAAACTAATTCCTCAGTTAATTTTACACATTCTATAAATCAGTTTTTAAACTGAGAATAATTCTCGAATTTTGAAAATGTCATGTCGTAATAACAACATTTTAAAATTATTGAGACTTTCGAAATGATGTCGAAATAAATGAAAAAATTTTAAGTCTGCCGAAAATTCATTTCAATAAAAAATTCATTTGGATCAACTATGGAATCATAGCAAATCAAGTACATAAAAAATTATTACTAAAACACAAAATTGGCTAGTCACAACATTGTATTAATTATATTAGAATGGGAAAAATCTTGTGGAAATAGTCGCAAAATGAAAAACAGTTGTCAAAAAAATTATCCATAACATGGATTAACAATAGAGTAAAAAATATCAGAATGGAAAAAAACAAGTGGAAATGGCCAAAATAAATTATCGTAAAACGACATGAATTTACAACAAAAATAAATTATCGTAAAACGACATGAATTTACAACAAAGTCCTCACGAATCGAACAAGTAAAAAAATTATACTCAAATTCAAAACACATGTGTCGTAATAATGTATTAAAATAATCAGAATTTTAAAAAAACATGTGAAAGGGTTGCAAGAATAAATAATTGCCAAAAAAATATCATCTAATAATGTGAAATTATGCTAGAATCATCCTGAATCAAAAGTGTCAAAAAGTGATAAGTCATATTCGATTGTTGTAATGACAACACAATAAAAATATCGAAATTTGAAAAACTATGTGAAAGGCACCAAAAAAAATATAAATAACTGCCAAAAAAACTATCCTCCAACGGCATGAAATTACGTTGGAGTATTGAAGTATTAAAATTTGAAAATCATGACAACTGAATTTTACGTGTCGCAATAATAACTTATTAAGAACATCAGGATTTTTAAAAGCGATGTCGAGATATCTGGAAAATCAAAATGCAACTGTAATAACTGCCAAAAAAAGCGATAAAAAATTAAAGTGGATTTACGCTGTGATCCTCCCAAATCAAGTGCCTAAAAAAGTAATAACTTAAACACAAAATTCTCTAATCATAGCATTGTATTAAAATAAGTGAATAAAAAGAAAAGATCCATAAATAACATGGATTTAGGATAGAATTGTTATGAATGGAGCATGTTAAAAGTGACTCCTTATATTTGAAATTGTTATATTGGAAATAACTTCCCATAAAGACTACCACAAGAAGAAAATACAAGTGGAAATAGCCAAAAAAGCAATCAGAAAATAACGTAGATGAGTACAATGCATTCAAAAGTTTTGCCTCAAGTTTTAATTAGAAATTTTCATGTCGGAATAACATGGTATTAAAAATATAGGATTTTGAAAAAAAGATATAGAGTACAAAGTCTCATATCTGAACATCCGTTTACTGGAAATGTCGGTCTCTTTTCCAGACACTTTTTAACAGATAAAATTAACAAAACTCTTTTCCCATTTCAAATAAAAAAAAATTCTTTACATTTGCGACTTGTTAAAAAATAGTATGCAGGGATAAGGATCCTCTGCTTTTCTGCTTCTTTACGATGTTAGTAAGATTTTAATTCAATTTCCACTACAATATGAAAAAAAATTGGATATCACAGAAACGAAAATCAGCATTTCACTACAGTGTGAAAAAAAAATTGTGTATTTTTTCTCAGGCATTGCGTAAAAGGATTATTACTGCCAAAAAAACACGTGATTAATTTCAGAGTTGGCAAAATTTAACAATTAGAAAAAATAGCGGATTTGAGATGAAATCATCACAACTAAAGCGGGTCATTAAGTGATTATTTATGAATTCCCAGATCGTAATAATATTATATTAAAAATTAAATCGAAATTTTCCCCTTGAAGAAAATAAAACACGTGGACAATAAAATCTTCACAAATCGAGTGCATCTAAAAGTACAAAAGTAATGCTACAAATGAGCAATTTAAAATTTCCAGAGTGTGAAAATGCAGCATTAAAAAATTATGAAAATAGGTAGCGATAACTGACAAAAAAGCAATCGTAAATCCACGTGGGATCGTGGGTGAATTGAAAATAATTGAGAGAAATGCGTGATTCGAAGTTTGCTGAACAAATAAATATTATATTTTTTAAAGCATTATCAACAATGAGATTTTAAAAACCAAGTGAAATTCCATTTTAATAACTACCAAAAAATTCTATTTTATTTTCAAAAAACCCTATTTTCTATTTTATTCTACTAAATGAGATCGCATATTACGATTGTTTTAACCAAACTCTTTGTTTAATTTGAATTTAATCATTCTAAACAAAGAAATTATAACTTTATCTACACATTATAACGATGAAGTATTGCTGTTGTTACAGGGGAACACAAAAAGTTCAAAAACAAAATAGATTTTTGTCATTTTATAAATAAGAAATATAGTATAAGAATAAGTTTACTACTTATTAAGTATTTAATATACAATTACCTAATAAGACTAAAGTTTTCCTTCTGTAACCCGGAAGTCTAACTACTTCCTCATAAGTGACCAAATCCAGTTGATCAAATACAGCATTATGTTTGGCTAAATATTTATCTCTGTAGTGCTTCTTCTTACGTCCAAAAAATGAGCAATTTACTAAAGTGATAAAGAAATAAAACATTATTTATGAATCATCAAAATTCAATCAGATTTACTTAAGTACAATTGCCAGCATCAAAAATAAAATTTCAGTATATTTAAAGATATTCTAAACGTATAATAGCATAGTCTCCCCTTAATGTGATCGCAGTTATTGTTAACAATCGCTTATTGTTATCAAAATTACTCGGTTATCATTTTTTCTATTCATTTGTATGTTAAAATTACTGCTTTCTGTGATCGTTGCATTGCATAATATTATCAGAAATATTCACTGTTTGTTCAGAAAGAACTGCGTTAACAGAATTTTAAGTGTCCCAGAACTTTTACTGGGGAAAAGGCAATTGTTAGAACTGAAGAGACAAATGCTGAAATGAAATATGTTTTACAACAGGATCAAAAATAATTTCATCTGTAGAAAAGCTCAGATAATCTGCAAAAGTTGGGTGGCATCAGGGGTTGTTATAGAAAAAATTGGAATCAATTAAAAAATCATTCACAATTTTTTTATCACAAAAAAGGACCATTCAGAAAATATTTTATCACAAAAACGGGTTTTTCACAAAATATTTTATTCTGAAAACAGATTCTTCACAAAAAATATTTTCTTAAAAATTGACATTTTTAAACATTTTTCTTTTGAAAAATGAAATTAAATCAATGACTGCTTCAATTCATAATTTCAAAACTACGACTAAGAACTATCACAAAAGTCTTGACAAATCACAGGAATATGCCACATAGATTTTCATAGGTATAGTACAAAAAATTTATTACGTTCTTTACATTTTCAGTAGATTTACAGGACCTTTTACAAAAAGTCTGGAATTACCCTTGGGTGAGTCAATTCCAGATAAAGAAGTTCCAAAGATGATTTTTAACATCGTCCAGAAGTGACGCCACCTGTATGTTTTATTATGATAAAACACCTCTTTTTTTATTTGCAATTGACATTTTTTACATTTTATAATTCCCAAAAATTATATGAAAGATAATTAATTGTAATGAAAGATGAAATGACAAGACCTTCAAAGCAGTGAAGCCAGCATAGTCTTGGTTTAACACCAAAACATTCTAGTGCAATGTTATCTTCTGATTAATTTTAAAGAAGAATGAGATGTATATTTTTATACCTTTAAAGAAATTGTAAAATGATACTAATTAGTGATATTGTTTTTAAATTATGGTTTAAAATTCTAGTTTTGAGCTAAATCTAAACTTATATATCTTTTTTTCTGTTTCTAAATAGTTTAGGATAGGTGAGTATACTTTTTTAAAATGTAATGTTAATAAGTTGTTTTGAGGATTTATCAATTATTTCAATATGCAAGCACATATTTTTTTCCACGAATTATTTATGAAAGACTACTAATTCTCTTGAAAAGGGTTTTATTTTTAAACTATAATCAAACAGCAAAAAGTCACAGAATAGTAGTGAAAACAAAAGAAGTTAAATATATCAAAATATTGTCGAATTCTAAATAGACAATAAAACAAAAAAACATTAAAAAATTATGCAAAAAAACATTAACAATTCGTACAACAAAAAAACATTAAAAAATTATGGTCAATAAATACTATTTTAACTATTGAGTTACTGTTTTGCCGGGTTTTTTTTTCTCAATTCTTTTAAAAAAGAAACCAAATTCATAGATAATTCCTATATTTAAGCCTTTATAACCAGCTCTATATTCTATTTTAGATATTTTACATGAAACATCAAAACTTTTGAATGTAACTGAATACCCTAATTTTCGATAACTTGAAATATCATCTGCATTAATTAATTAGCATATTTGATTGAGGTCACCCATTTGAACCATTAGGATTGACACTTAATTCTTATTCTAGAACAGAAGTTATTCTAGGCTATATCTTTTTTGCGCACTGTGCTTAATTATGAAAATGCTATACTAGGAAGCTCTAAAATTTATCCTAAGCAAAACTTCAAAGCTCTGTGCTAAAACAATATTGCAATAGATAATTTCAACTCAAAAGAAACTAATTAGCATTTCTGCCTTAAACAAAGTAAAAATTTTACCTTGATCATTTCGAGACCGTTCAACAGCCAAGCTAGCAATACGCCACTCCTGTAATTCTGGAGATGGAATCAATCCAGCTGTTGTATCTGATCCTTCTTTTCTTGCTTGCCACCAATTATGATCATCTTTGCTGATGACTTGCAAGATATCACCTGTTTTAAATTTGATGCCAGCTTGTGGACATGGAATAAGATCATCTGCTTTTGGATCATAGTCAAATTGAGCTCGTACAAATATCTAAAATCATAAATTTCTGCTGAATTTCTTCAAAAATATATAGATATTTTGATATTGGTCAGCAAATAGTTTAATTTTGAAAATGCCGCAAAGCTGACCTTCCAGAAATTCCTCGACTCTCATTCGCCATTGTTTTATCCTGCTCGCCTGAACAACCTGCCACTTGCATGACAAAAATGTAGAGAAAATAAGGGTGTGTGAAAATATGGAATGATTGAAATAGCTCCTTATATCTGTAAGCTATCAACATCAATCCAATTTCTTTTTTTTACATATTTCATACACAACGACCAAATAGTAAAATAGATATGATCCCTCTTAATATCGCTTCCGCTTTTAAAATTATCTAGGCACCCTACAAAACATTTAAAGCAGATCAAAAAACATAAACTTCTAAACTCAATGGTGCCAGAGCATACCATACCCATCTCAGTTTTCTTGACCTTAAGCTCTGGGATGCAAGAGATGCTTTGGTCGAACATGGAACTCTGAGTGACTAGTCCCCAAGCATGCTTGGCACTCATTTTACCAACCCACTGAAGGGATAAAAGGCTGAGTCCACCTTGTCTGGTCCAAGGACAGAACACCCCACTTTTGGCATGAGAGCGTGGCATCACTCAGCCATTGGGCTTCGCAGATACTTCTGCAGAGGTAAAAGTTGCTTTTGACCTCAAATTACCAAAACTAGAAAACATGACAAGCCATAATAAATAATTTGATCTTCATTTAAATTTCTCCATAATACTTAAAACTATACATTGATTTCTGTTATTGAATTAGGAACAAAGAAATGCAAACATGGTACAATTACATTATACCAGTATCTAGATTGAGTCAAACCTCAATCCACCATTCTCACATCTTTAGTTTACCTGTAAGTATAATCTTGTTTTAACTGTCCCATCATTAATGATTTCTTATAATATTCATAATACCCGTTTAGATCATTGTTAAAACTAGCACATTCCCACATCTATCAGGGGTAATTGAGACACAAAGTGAAAAAAGCCCAAAATTTTTATGTGCAAAAACTCGATATTAAAATATCAATTTATCTACCATACACGTTTAATATAATTTTTTGAAAAAGATTTATATTTAAACTAAATAGCAATAAAGAATATCAAAATTTCATAGTAATTACTTTAAGAGAGAACTTAATTCTTAACAAGAATCACAACTTTGCATTTTTGAATTGTGAGAATAGGAATCACCTGAATACAAATCACAATGTGAAGGTTCCCAGTCAATTTCAGAAAAAAAAAATTCCATGACTTTTCTAAGTATATCAGGTAAATTTCAATGAAAATCTATTCTACTCTTTATCTATATCATGAAATAATTCTTCAGAAAACTGATTTTTTTTTTATTTGTTAGATCAAATATTAGATATTGTGCGCAAAACCATATAATAGAATGAGAATGGAAACATGTAAAAGTTTCTCTAAAAAGTGGAATTTTATAAAAAAATTGTAATAGATGTTAGAATTATTTAACTTGAATCTCAATAACTGATTACTGTTACTGAAAATTCAAAGAATGTTTTGTTTCCATTTAAGGTTTTTGGTAAAAAAAATTGCATTTTTTCCAGACACTATTCCCTGAATTTTAGAGTTAAAATAAAATTACCAGACAATTCGATTTTTCCTTTTCTGACTTTTCCCCTGAGTTGTGGAAGCTTTGAATTTATCATTTTCAAATTGGGTAAAAACAAAGATCGCTGTTTGATATCAAAATTGTGTGAATATGAACTGTGATATTAGTGGCTTCTGACAGTTTCAAATATTCAAAATGATAACAATTCGCCAAACCAAAAGAATTAAATTGGTGGATTTCTGCCAATTAATAAAGCTTCACCTATACATAAATGTTTCTTTAATGGGATTTAATGAAAATTTCAAATTTGAATTCTAGAGTGCGGAACTCAGTGAAATTGTTTTTTATCAGATTATAAGTTTCTGATTCGTGGAAGTTCACAGGCCAATGGTCTCGAAAAACGGGTAAAAATCACAAGCACAGCTCCTAGTTTTTAGATTCAGAAGGTTGAAATAAAAAACACAGAATAAGGGAACAAGACAAGAATATAATCACCCCTGCATCTATTGTTTGAAAATTCTACTGACACTTTAAAAAAATGTTGAAAGTATTTTATTTCAATAAGTAAATAGGACTCCTTATGCTAATGATGAAGAAGAAAATGAAGACTTATTACACTCATGAAAAAGTCTCAACATCTTGTTTGGTTTAAATACAGCAGTTGATGAAAATATTGAAAAATGTGGTGTTGTGGGTTCCAAAAACTGTTGCAGAAGTTAGTGATATTAATGAAGATAGTAAGACAGAACCAAAACCAGTGCCAATATTTGTAGATGACTTCAAAGCATTTGAAACAATGAAAAACTTTCTGTATTTGTACAAACTTACAGAAAATGAATAGCAATCTACTACAAATATTGAAAAAAAGTTATTTGTGCATTGAAAAAAAGACTGTGCAAAGCAAAATTTCCAAATATTTTAAATAAATATGTTAATTCATCTTCCATTTGCATCGTAATTTTTTTTAAATATAATTTTAAAAACTTATTGTAAATTTATTGACTCTTTTAGTTCATTACTTCTTTCTTACCTTTCACATATTTTCAAGACATTATTTTAGATTTTACGAAGATCCACATTCATCATTTTCCCCTATCTACCGTTCGTAATGAATAGTTCCATTAGAAGAGATCAATCAAGGCTCTACTGTATTACAAAAGGGTCAATTATATTTAGTTCATGTTACATAAACAAAATTCAAAAAATTTATGTCTAAATAAGTAACAAATGAAGAGCCCTACCACACCAAACTAAATAAGTACAACTAATTAAGTGAATGAAATCCATGTAAGCAAAAATTTTGCAAATAACTCATCAATCTTTTTTTTATCTTATAAATTATTGACATAGTGATTTGAGATTTTCTGATTCGAACAAAGGCTTTTTGGATTCCATTCACAACACAAACCATTGTGATTATAAGTTTCTGAAAAAATTGAAATACGAACCTCACAAGTAGGAGGTCCAGTTCTATAACTTGGAATAATTTTGAATGTTACATTTCCTCGTGCATCTCTCTATTGAAAACAGAAAACATTATTTCACACAATAGAAAAAGTAAATAAAGCTCAATCGATAAAAAAAATCTTACAAACCAGCATTTTTTGTAAAGCATCTACAGTTTGATTAGCAACACTAACATTGTTGATTTCTCGAATTTCATCTCCAACATGAAGAGTAGCTAGAAATGTAAATTAAATTTTTCAATTTAAACAGAGCAGAACACAGCAACTTAGCAAAAAGCTTCACTCAATAAATATCCAAATAGAATTAATTTAATACCAATCATGTGTACAATCTTTAAAGCATATTTTATTGAAATATAAAAATTCCACTTCACAAATAGTACTGATGTGATTTAATAATTACTTATCAAAATTTGTTCTCATAAGTTTTATAAATGATTTAAATATCTAAAAAATTTAAAAAGCTTCAAGCAATTTTCAAAGTAGGTTTTGTATGTTTTAAAAGAAAATCAAAATGATCAGGGGTTTTCCACAAATTTCATTTTGTACTAATACATAAAATTTATTAAAAATGACACTGACATAGTTGGGAAACATCCCATAAAAGTATCTTCCCGTTTTTCTTCTTATACAATCTTATTTCGTTGTATGAACGTTTATTGTAAAGCATTATCATGTTATTTAATCTGTCTTACGATGCAAAATAACATTTCTAGAAAATCCTTTATCATTTTGAGTTTCTTATAAAAAGTATAAAAACTACTTAGAAAATTGCCGGAAACTTTTTAAATTTTTAAAATATTCTTCAAATCAAACTTACTTTTATTAGTTGCCTCTATGAAATGAAGAATTTTTTTTTTTTTAATTTTTCTTGCGCATACACAGTATAGAAGAACTACTTTATATACTTATATCTTTCCCAGTTTAAAATGAATTTTTCTCAAATTTTAAAGCAATAATTTTGTAACTAATTTTAAATCGCTCTAAAAATTGTGTTTAATTTTTTTTTATATTTATAAACTTACAGCAAAAAAATGTAAGACAAAAGAATCAATTTCTTATAAAAATGTCTATATCTCCATAAATATTTAAGCTAGGTTACGAAATTTTGTGCAAATAATAGCCAAAATGATTGCTATTATTTGCCAAAATTTACCATTATAATAGCCAAAGTAACAAATGTATTGCTACATTTTTTGGCACAGGGTGTTCAAAAACACTATTTTACGTTTGAAATTTATTGTCGATCCCTCAAACCTCTAAAAACTTAACATCTCATTTATAAGTATGAGAAATCACATAATCTAAACAATTTGGAAGTTATAAAATAATTTTTTAAGTATTTCTTGAGAAATATGAAAAAATGTATTAGTATAAGTGTTTCCATTATTTTGTGCACCCTCCAGTATGTTAAAAAGATTTTTAACAAATTTGCACACAATCTTTTTTAATATATTTGATATGTTTCAAATATGGATGAATCCAAATCAGTCAGCTTTGCTTATTTATTATTTTTATGATATGAACAACATTGTTTCTCATTCTTTTTAATTTCAGTTTTTTATTCAGTTTAATCAGCTCAGTTTTGCTTATTTATTAATTTTATGATATGAACAACAATGTTTCGCTTTCTTTTTTATTTTTATTTATTTTATTTAGTTATCAATTTATTTTAAAAAAATGACAAACCACTGAATAAATCATGTAGTACTATATGAATTGCAACAACTTTTCATGGCTGTCAACATGAATAGGACAAAATCCAGTAGACTTAACGAAATATAAATTTCATGATAATTGTTGCAGATTGTACTAAATATTTTACAATAATTCAAAAATACAACTTACAATAATTCTGAAAAAAATTAACCATAATGCAGAATTTTTACAAAATACAATAAAATCAGATTTTGATTTAGTTAATCTGAGATAATTTGCAACTTATTGTTACCCTCAATTTTATATTGATAAAAAATATATATATTATATAAAGAACAGAATTAAGAAGATTTTAAAAGAAACCTAACTAATACCAACCAAAACAAAGCCTGATGTTTATTTTAAGCACTATTTATATTCAGTTTTATTAATATTAATAATTTATTCCTCTCATCAAAATTCCTTTTTTTTTTTTACTTTAACTACTCCTTTTCAACATCTGTCCATTAAAGTAGTATGAGTGTTTAGCTATAATAAAACAAAGCAAGAAAATATTCCTCAAAATAAGATTTGCAGCAGATCACAAGAGAAAACTTTTCATTTAACTTATAAGACAACTTGTTCGTTTATTTATTTTTTTTTAAAAAGGAAAAGACACTTGTTTATTTAATTTTCTGTAATAAAAAATAGACTTTAGGAAACAGACTAGGTATGGGACTTCACTGTACAAAGTTAGACATTCAATTTCTAATGTGATTTGTCCTACACTCAGTTAGGTCAAGTTATAGTGCATGTGCAACGAAGAAAGTACGCCATCATCCAATTGAATTCATTACTTAAACTTATTTTTCAGCATAAAATTATATACCATAACAATTAATGAAAATTTTTTAACAAAATCATAAAAATGAAGGTTTAACTCCGATATTCTGAAAAATGTTAAGGACAAAATTACCTTGTCTATGAATCATTCCACCATGCATTATGCGTGCAACAATGCACCTGCCTTTATCATCTAGCTTCAAAGTGATGCCCTATACCAAATAAAATGAAATCTTCAGCGTAATATACTCTAAATCTGACAGAAAATATTCAAAAATCATTAAAAAAAATAATAAAACTAGTGCATATTAAAAGCTTAAAATGATATAATAACTAATGCAACAAAAAAAACTTTCTTAAAAACTGAAAGTGCATTTTAACTAATTTACAATAAAGAACAGTTGTCTTTCATGATATACTTCAATTAACTTTAACAAAAAATACAAAAATCAACATGTGGTGCTTGAAGATCTTGAGAAAACAAAATACTTTTTTGCTAAACAATAACCAATTAATTTCATTAATTATAATTTTTTTTTAAAAAAATATGGACCAAAAAATTAGCTCCATAAAACAAAATTTAGAAAAGAATAAATTATTTGAATTCTTTTATCATATTTCAAATGCAATATTAAGCAGAAGGAATGAAACAGACATAAATAAATGAATTAGGCTTAGAGTTTAAAAAAATTAATCAATTTTTTTAAATTTTATAAAAATCAATTTTTATAAAATTAAAAAAAAAAGTATGTTTTTTAGCACTTAAAAAAATTTAACAAATTTGTACTTTATTTTTATTTATTTATTTTGTAAAAATTAAGGTTTCCACTAAAATTTTCCTTGAAAATAGAAGTATAGTAACCTTACTTATAAAAATTAGTAGCTTAAATAGTCTCCTCTGAGAAATAATTAAGATGCTATTTTTCTGCCACGTAATATGCTTAGAATAATTATTATAAAAAGCCAACTAAAAAAAAAAACATCTCATGACACAACTGTACAATACAACAACTTAAAATTAGATAAGTACTAGATAGGCAAGATAAGACTATTTCTTAATTCAAATACTGCTTCAAAAGTAGAACAATGTTTTTTCCTTCTATTAAAAATATCATGAATAAAATAAAAAAGAAATTAAATAAAGATACATTTTTTAAGTTCTAAGTAAATAAATTTATATTGGTTCTGAACACTAGAAAACAACTACAAATTAAATGTATGATTAAAATAAGTAATTGATCAAGATTCAAAATCCAGAATTATCATATATCATATAAAACTTTTTAAAAAATCAAGTGGTAAACAACTATGAAAATTTTTAAACATCTGATTTGGAGAACATGAAAATTCATGAGCATTTTAAAGTGCATTTCTATTTATAAGGTATTAAAAAAAAAAAAAAAAAAAAACTTTAAGTTTTCAAATATTAACATTAAAGAAAAGGTTTTCTTTCCCACATGTTGATTACTTGACAGTATTCTGCTGGGAGTTTTCTAATACTGTAACTTTAAAGCGAAAAATTAATTTCTGTTATTTAATTGCAAATATAAAAGTTTACCAAACATCATCATAAAACATCAAATATTTATAAAAAGAAAATTTAATAAAAATAAAATATCTAAAATTACTAAAAAATACATAGCTAAAAAATTCAAAAAACAGACAATATATTTTTGCATAATTAACTAGATATAAGTGAACGAATTTATTAAGGAAGATAAGGATAACAAAATTCCAAATTCAAAATGAATTACATAATAGTTATACAGATTTTAAAATTCCGTATAAAACTAAAATAAATAATATGGAAATAGTTATTAGGGTAAACTAACCAGTGAAGGAACACTTAAGCTTCGCTTGCCTTTTAAAAAATCATATTAATTTCAAAATTCCTAATTTTAGTTAAATGACAGTGTCAACATATTTGCTACTAATTGCAAATTATGTAAAAAAATTGTAGAGAACTTACATAATATTGTTTTAAAGTTTTGGAGGTTCAAATAACAAGTAGTAAGAAGACCAAGTGAAGGAACAGCTCTTACCAGTGAATGAACACCCAGTAAAGGAACACTTAATTTTGGTTATTTTTCAATGCTCTTTATGAATTTATAAGCCAAGTAAATATTTAAAAACAAGCCTATTCTTGAAGGTATAACATATAAATACTTGGAAAATGTTAACTTTTTTTTTGTGATCATGAATTGAAAATTA